TGTCTATGAAGCTTTAATGTCGGGTAGATAGGGCAACGGTTGGGACTCCACGAGAGGTCAACCTGTAGACACACACATTACCTTCAGACATCCCTCTTAATCCTGGTGCCGCCAGAATCCACGTTCTCGCATTCCAAGGGCCTCAGGACCTTTGACTATCAAGTGGCTAAATCACCGAAATCATAGAGACTGTCCATGAGAACCTTTAGTAGGTCTTCCCACGGTGGAAGCCCATTATTTTTCTCCAGGTCTTCCGTGCCCCAGTCCCCCTGTGCGACGTCAAAGTCGATGGTGCGAACCGTGAATCTCATTACCACCGTACCTCACCTATGAGTCCTTTCTTTCTTAAGGTACCAAGCAATGGTTATAGTTGGATCTGTTTTTTCCACGTCCTTTTTTTGGGAGAGATTAGAAGTTCAGAACGTGGCTGGAACTGTATTCCTTTGAAAACTCGACAGCGAGTTGCCCCTTGTGTCGAATGCAAAGGGAATAATTATCCAGCCACAAAGGATGAGGAGTGGGTTAGAACTGCCTTCTTAGGAGCCTGAGTAACTCAGAAGATCGTCCTGCTGCAGAAACGTTAGCCGTCGTGTGGAGTTTCAAAAAGAATAAATATTCAACTGCTACAAGACCCAGGTTCATCGAGAGCAGGACTTAGTGGTCTCAGAGAGCTAATAAAGCAGACTCACGGTCAGCCTGTTCTGAGAAGAGATATTATCTTTTACCAAATGGTGCAGGAAGACGTCACCTTCATGGTTCACCCATGGTCTGTTCAATGGATGACAATCTAGTAGCTTCGTTATAGACCTAGGGACTTAAGCTGTTGTGTAGGGCAAGATTTTGACGGGTAGCACTTCATTTCCGAGGTCTGAAGGAAGCCTGGAGTACGAAACGCGTGCGATATGGAAATCTTACCAATGAAAGTGCAGAACAAGAGCTCCGAGGCATCTATAGAAAGGTGGAGCTCTGAGATATATGCATCTACTCTTGGTTAGAGCAGATCTAATCTGAGTTATGCAGATTCTTTTGATATAACTGGGTCAAGAGCAACGGGAAATACCACAAACACCAGGCTTCGGTGACAGGAATTCAGGTCAGCGAATAACTTTGCCATTAGACTGTAAAATCTATGGGAAATTTCCAAAGTTCCTCCCACCTGTAGCAGAAGTTCTAATCTACTCTGTAAAGATTTTCAATATAATTTATTTATAT